TAAGTGAATTGACACAGGAGGGACTTGACTTACTACTTGCTACTTACTTACTACTACTATATGAGGGATGAATTAATATGGGGGATGAATTACTATGGGGGATGCATTACTATATGGGGGATGAATTACTATATGGGGGATGTATTACTATGGGGGATGAATTACTATATGGGGGAGGAATTACTATGGGGGATGAATTACTATGGGGGATGAATTACTATGGGGGATGAATTACTATATGGGGGATGAATTACTATATGGGGGATGAATTACTATATGGGGGATGAATTACTATGGGGGATGAATTACTATATGGGGGATGAATTACTATGGGGGATGAATTAATATGGGGGATGAATTACTGTAGGGGGGATGAATTATTATGGGGGATGAATTACTATATGGGGGATGAATTACTATAAAAACTTATTGAAACTAAAAACAGTGTACCATCCTATGTATTTTCAGTTTTAAAAATGTGGCTCTCAAAATAAATTTCAATCATGGTTTTGGCGAGATTTGGCTCAGTTGAAAAAAAAGGTTGCCCACCACTGGCCTAGGCTATAAGAAGTCTGGCAAGACTCTGAAACTGAGCTGCAGCACGGTGGCCAAGACCATACAGTGGTTTAACAGAACAGGTTCCACTCAGAGCAGACCTCGCCATGGTCAACCAAAGGAGTTGAGTGCACGTGCTCAGCGTCATATCCAGAGGTTGTCTTTGGGAAATAGATGTATGAGTGCTGCCAGCATTTCTGCAGAGGTTGAAAGGGTGGGGGGTCAGCCTGTCAGTGCTCTGACCGACCATATGCCGAAAACAGCCTGCATCAAATTGGCCTGAGTGGCTGTCATCCCAAAAGGAAGCCTCTTCTAAAGATCATGCACAAGAAAGACTGCAAACAGTTTTCTGAAGACATGCAGACTAAGGACATGGATTACTGGAACCATGTCCTGTGGTCTGATGAGACCAAGATAAACTTATTTGGTTCAGATGGTGTCAAGCGTGTGTGGCGGCAACCAGGTGAGAAGTACACAGACAAGTGTGTCTTGCCTACAGACAAGCATGGTGGTGGGAGTGTCATGGTCTGGGGCTGCATGAGTGCTGCCGGCACTTGGGAGCTACATTTCATTGAGGGAACCATGAAAGCCAACTTGTACTGTGCCATACTGAAGCAGACAATGATCCCCTCCCTTTGGAGACTGGGCCGCAGGGCGGTATTCCAACATAACAACCCCAAACACACCTCCAAGATGACCTTGCTAAAGAAGCCGAGGCTAAAGGTGATGGACTGGCCAAGCATGTCTCCAGACCTAAAACCTATTGAGCATCTGTGAGGCATCCTCAAACGGAAGGTGGGGAGCGCAAGGTCTCTAACATCCATGAGCTCCACGATGTTGCCATGGAGGAGTGGAAAAGGACTCCAGGGGCAAACTGTGAAACTCTGGTGAACTCCATGCCCAAGAGGGTTAAGGCAGTGCTGGTAAATATAGGTGGGCACACAAAATATTGACACTTTGGGCCCAATTTGGACAATTTCACTTAGGGGTGTACTCTCTTTTGTTACCAGCAGTTTAGACCTTAATGGCTGTGTCGTGTGTTGAATTATTTTGAGGAGACAGCAAATTTACACTGTTATACAAGCTGTACACTCATTACTTTACATTGTAGCAAAGTGTCATTTTTTTCAGTGTTGTCACATGAAAAGATAGAATAAAATATTTACAAAAATGTGAGGGGTGTACTCACTCCTGGGAGATACTGTACAGTTATACTAACACATGTCAAAGCTGCAAAACTGTGTTCAGGCGTTAAGATTTGTTTTACCCTCTGTCACAAAGCGTTAAGAAGCTTCTGGTTGTGGACTTCATTGTTTAAACAGAAATGGAGCCCTGGCTGGATGGTTGGTTTAGCACACTTTGCTTCTATACACATATGGGACAGCATTGCATGCTTTTTTTGTACAATTGAACTTACACTCTAAATATAATAGGAGCTCTCTCTATAAAAAAAATACAAATGTTGCCATAAAGAGATTACATAAACACAAATCTGCACTGGAAATTCAAAAAGCAAGACAAGAGCTCCCTCACATGGTGAAATCCACATTACTGATGAAGCAGAGTGACTTGGGAAACTTGTCACAAGTTTGGCCATTTTTTGGCAGAAATTAAACTCAGAAATGGATCTCTCATGAGAGGAAAATGGGGGAAAACAGTTATTAGCCCTCCTTCCCTCATGTGACTGTGGCAGCACAGTGTCCAGGCTCCCTGAGAAATTCTGTGCAGGTTTAACAGTGGCAGGTAGTCACTCTACCTCTGTTAGGGTCACGTGACCTTTCCCCCTAGGGAACATTCTAGAAAATATTTGAGGAGCTATATAAGTAGGGTTCCGTCCTGGATCATTCAGTCGCCTCAGAAGGCATGGGCTGTGGTGCTCAGGGAGTCTCCCCACCAGGGGCAGACTGACCATTTGGAAAACGTAATCTGAAACACCATGCCACTCTTCCATCTACAACATTTCCATCATAATCATCCTGTGATTAAATTTATAATACTATATAAACTGAATATCCATAAACAATGTGCTTTCAAAAAAATGTCCCATCAATTCACATAGTCCTTCAAAAAATCATCTTGTGAAGCATCTGTGAATATTCCATCCATACATTCAAATCTTCTCCCAAAATTTGTGCACCATCACCAATACACCCAATGTTCTCTCACCTGGAGCTTTTTACCTCACATATACAATGTTTGGTCAAATATCACTTGTGTCCCTTTAAATGGACTAAGTAGAGTTATATCCTGAAGTATCTTTCTCCTTCTGGGTCAATGGTAGAGCATCTCCTGCTTCACACTCCACCGTTCAGTATAAATATCAAAATAAGCAAAACATAGTGCTTTATCGCTAAAAACACCTTTATTTAAAAAATATAAATGAGCCACTCACATGCTTTCGGTGCTCAGTCATACCAGATATATTCAGCCTGTTAAAACTCCCAATGCAATACTGTCAGCATGTTAATGAATTCTATCTGCCTGGTACCGCGAGCGCTTGTGGTACCAGGTAGAGAGGATTCAGTAACATGCTGAGATGGTCTTCCATTGACCCAGAAGGACAATTGAACCATTGGTAATGTTGCACAAATTTTGGGAGAAGATTTGAATGTAGGGATGGAATATTCACAGATGCGTCACAAGATGAATTTTTGAAGGACTATGTGAATTGATGGGACTATTTTTGAAAGCACATTGTTTATGTATATTCAGTTTATATAGTATTATAAGTTAAATTACAGGATGATTATGATGGAAATGTTTTACATTGGTGTTTCAAATTACGTTTGTGGCACATTAATATGAGTATAATGTGTAGTGTGTGAGCTGCTTCCAAATAGGTATAAAAGGTTTAGAATCACTTTCACTTTATATTTTTAACACAATTTTTTATTAAGGACTGTTCACAAGGACGTCCCTACATCTGCCTCAGCCACTGGCTCTGTTGAAGAGGCAAGTCCTCGAAACGCGGCAGCCTATTGGATGTCTACATTCCCCATTACGGACTGTTACTCAGCGCGGTGTTGACCCAGCTGTTCTTTTATGATGTGCCTTGACTTTATTGTTGTTTGTGAGTACAACACCTACTTTATTTCTTATTAAACATTTTTTATGGTAATGCACTAGGCCTGTGCGCCCTCTCTTTGTTCTTTCCTCATTCTGTATATTTGGATTCCCCCGGTCTGTTGAGGGCAGCAAGGTGTGCATGTTCCAGGACATTCTTAATGTGGTTGCAGCCTGCATCGAGTCCATCCCCAAGCACAGGAGCATTTGTGTTTGCTGGTTCACTGACTCTGCCACCACTGCCACAGCCTCCACCGCCTCAGCTACAGCCTCGTCCACGTCCACTGCCTCCGCTGTCCCCATTGATGCCCTGTGTATGCCGGGTCTTCGGTGGAAGACACGTGGAGCTTTGAATTGCGACAGGAAGAAGATGGGAGGGACAGCCGAAGGCTGGATCCAGGTCAGAGGCCAGCCTTGGTCACTTCCTGCAAGGAAGGAGGGCTGGCAAAGAGGCAGCGCACATCGAGAGCAAGGCACTCCCCCTCACCGCAACATAAATAGATTTAGGGGAAGAAACCCTAAAAAAGGTAATTTTTGTGATCCAAATAGTTTGACTAAGTAACAAAAATTTATTAAAGAACCATAAAGTAACCAACAAAATGAAAAAGATTTTTTGGTACAAAAATATATATATATACCTCCACCCATTACCATTCAAATTTTGACAACGTTGTCAATTTAAAACCAGGGAGTCCGGACTAGAAATGACTTGGGAGCAATGTCTGACCGTCAGCAATATCATGTCTTAGGTGTCATAGACCTCCGCTCAAAACTGAGCATAAAAGATTAGACAATGTATCCACTGAAAAGGAGGAAAATGACAAAACATAATCCTGCCATTCTTAAATCTTCCCATTGCCTCATCACTATTGTTTGGATACATTTTATACAAGTCGTTTTGCATCAATTAGAGATAGGTGTACAGAGTGTTGCAAATGAGTTGCTATCGTCAGCATTATGTCTTGTATTTTCACAGTGACATTTGTTTTATTATATTTTTCTAAATTTTTCTTGCTATTTAGTTAGGCCTTGCTAGTAATTTATTTGTTTTTTGAGAGGCACTGAACCCCGGAGATCTTTGATCTCTTTAATGTTGTTCAGGTAGATCTCCACCTCTCAAAGGTTGCCGATCCCTGTTCCAGCATTTCTGATCCTCTTGTTTCTGTAGACCAGGCATGTCCAAAGTCCGGCCCGCAGGCCAATTGCGGCCCGCGTTCCGGACTGAAACGGCCCCACAGGTGAGCTACCCAAATATATAACTTACGGCCCCCGGTAGTGATTCCCTGAAAGCTACTGAGGACTCCAGCGATCTCTTGACATCATCAGCTGGCGCAGGAAGGAGAGCCCAAATCTCGCGACGTCCGAGATCTCGTGAGATTTGGGCTTTCCTTCTCTGTGTGCCGGCTGATGACGTCAATTCCCGCTCGACAGATCCCTGGAATCCCCAGTGGCGTTTGCAGAATCACTAGTGGAGGGCCGTAAGTTATATATTGGGCAGCTCATATGTGGGGTCCGGAACGTGGGCCGAGGGATCCCAGGGTGGTGCGCAGGGAATTACTACTGGGGCTACCATTTACCATTATTTACTATGTCTGCAGTCTCTGGTCATCTCCTGTACTGTCCGCAGTCTCTGGTCATCTCCTGTACTGTCCGCAGTCTCTGGTCATCTCCTGTACTGTGTCCGCAGTCTCTGGTCATCCCCTGTACTGTGTCCGCAGTCTCTGGTCATCTCCTGTACTGTGTCCGCAGTCTCTGGTCATCCCCTGTACTGTGTCCGCAGTTTCTGGTCATCTCCTGTACTGTGTCCGCAGTCTCTGGTCATCTCCTGTACTGTGTCCGCAGTCTCTGGTCATCTCCTGTACTGTGTCCGCAGTCTCTGGTCATCTCCTGTACTGTGTCCGCAGTCTCTGGCCATCTCCTGTACTGTGTCCGCAGTCTCTGGTCATCCCCTGTACTGTGTCCGCAGTCTCTGGTCATCCCCTGTACTGTGTCCGCAGTCTCTGGTCATCCCCTGTACTGTTTGGGCTTTCCTTCTCCCTGTGCTGGCAGAGTGATTTAACACCTGTTTAGATTTGTCATCCAAGTCACAAAATGAAAAGTATGCCGTTTTCAATAAACTTTTGCATAAAATAGTTCATTTGCATTTAATGTTAATGGTTCATCAGAATGTCGGGCAAAATGGTCGGCCCTCGCACATGTTCACTTCATCAAATCTGGCACTCTTCCAAAAAAGTTTGGACACCCCTGCTGTAGACCCTGCATCTAATTCTCTAACTGGTAATGTAATTGAGAATTCTGCTGCTTTGGTATGGTCTCCATCTAGTGGCACGATACCAAACAACACTTCTCTACAGAGAAATTCTAGAGAAAATAGTAATGTAGTTAAATCAGCTAATGTTCCTGAGACCTTTTTGAAAAAAAGGCTTTGTCGTGTGATTTATCCCCACTTGGCTTTCATCTTTCAATCGGTATATAGGAAAAGATTTGGAGGGGAGAATACATTGATGTTTTATTTCTCCTTCCATTTTCAAAAGATTTTATTCAGAGATTGGACAGATAGGAAGATAAAACAGAGAAGGATAGGAGAAGGCCTGTCACTAGATCTTTCAATATTTGGCTACAGGCTTTCTGTATATTCTCAAGTGTAATGTGTGAAAAAGTTCCAGAAAAAAAAGTTCTGGTCTTTATCAACACATTGATATTGTTTTAGAAGCATACAAGAATTTTGGTGGTGTTGCCTGGTTTTTTATATGAGTCATTCTGTCAAAAATGATCAGTACACCCTTCCCTTAGATAGAAATCTAAGGATGTAGACCTTTGGCTTAATCTTTTTTCTCTCGCAGAGATCATTTTTTTCCAGGCAACAGACATCCACAGTTTCCAGTACAAACAGTAGCTACAGGAAAGGAGTCTGTTTTAATTTCAATGACAGCCAATGCAAATGGACAAATAATTGCAAATACCGGCATGAATGTGCCTTTTGTGCAGGTTCTCATCTGATCACAAAATGCTTAAACAAAATTTCAGCTGTGAACTAACAGACTAGAGTTGTTGTTCTGAAAGGCAATATCCCCAGTGAAGTTGAATGCACTGGCCCCTTGGATTCAAGTTTACCCAGATAAACGGATGGCTCAGCTGTTATTTGAAGGTTTTAAATTCGGATTTTTATTACCAGTGTTTTCCAGTTCTGGTTGTACAATAATTTGCAATTAAAAGTCTGTCTCTGGGCTTGAGTCTGTGGTTAGGGATAAGGTTTTTAAAGAAATAAGGAAAGGTAGTGTGGAAGGTCCTATTAGTTCCCTCCTTTCTGTAATTTTAGATTTTCTCCTTTAGGCATCATTCCCAAAAACGAGCCTAATTTTTATAGTCTCATTCACTATCTTTCCTATCCCAAGGGTGTTTTGTAAAACAATCAAATTCAGAATAACTTGATATCAGTTTCTTATACATCTTTTGAAGATGCTTTAGTTTTGATTATTTCCTATTAACCCTTTATGTTTTAATTCCTTGGGTTTTTTCTTTGAAGGTTACTATTTTTTCAACAAATGTCTGCCTATGGGCTGTTCATTATGCTGTTTTTATTTTGAATCGTTTTCATCTTTTTTTGGAATGGGATGTGTCTCAGGTTTCTGGTTCAAATTTTTTACTTCATTATCTTGATGATTTTTTACTCTTGGGCCCTCCTTCATTTCCTGATTGTTTAAATTATATAAATGTATTCTTTAAGGTATGTGACAATTTTGGTGTCCCTTTAGCTATGGAAAAGACAGTTTGGCCTATGGTTTGCCTGGATTACTTAGGTGTTACAATTGACACCATGGCCATGGAGTTTACACTTCCTGAAGAAAGAAATTATAAAAAAAAAAAAAAGTTATTACTGTGTCTTTCCTCACTTGTAAAAGGTCCCTTCAGTGTTTTCTATGGTCTCTTCATCCAGTTGTATCTGGTTAGGCCTTGCATGTCCTGTAATTCTTAAAGCATTTTAATGGTAAAGCGGTTTGGCAAAAGGACTTTGGGTTTGGCAGAGACTTTTGTCTAATCTTATAAGGGTGTATACTTGTGAGCTACTATGGTGGCACAGAATTGCTTATAATTAATTAGCTAATTTAAATGTGATGGTGCATCAACACATGAAACACATACTCAAATGCTGTGTGAAAATAAACAAATAAAATATTGAATGTGTCGCGCTCCTCAAAAAAGTGTTTAGTGATATATGATATATAATTTATATATAAAAGAAATAAATTAAATAAATAAATCTAAATAAATAAATAATTATCTCATAGTGATATAATTTAAATTAAATTTAAATTTAAATTTACCATCAGTATGCAAATTACCAATTATATATGCAGTACCAAAAATACACAAAGATAGTAAAAACCCTCCAGGACGACCAATTATTAATGGGATAGATTCAATGACATCTAGGTTAGGGGAATACATCGATATCCACTTACAGCCATTAGTCAAAAAAAAACTACAGCATACCTTAAAGATACAAGACATATAATTCAGTTGACTCATAATATGAAGGCAAATAAAAATACACTACTAAGCACAGCAGATGTCTCATCCCTATACACCAATATAAACCATGAAGGAGCAATAGAGGCAGCTAAATGGGCATTAAAAGATGATTCTGCAACCTCTAACAAGCACAGAAGGTTTATTATCAAATGCCTTAAGTTTTGTCTATACCATAATTACTTTTGGTATGGTGATGAATATTTTTTGCAAATAAGAGGAGTTGCTATGGGCGCTAAGTTCGCCCCTAGCATTGCCAACCTATACATGGCAAAATGGGAGGAGGAATATATCTATAGGAATCTGAAAAAAGAAATACAAATATATAGTAGGTATATTGATGATATTGTCCTAATATGGGATGGCAATAAGGAAGACCTAGAGGATTTTTATGAGAACCTCAATAAGAATGAAAATAACATAACCCTGAGTTGGAACATAAATGAAGTGGCTGTAAACTTTTTGGATATACTAATGGTAAAAGAAGGTAATATGATATATACAAAAAATTCTTTTAAACAAACAGACCGTAATGCTTATATACCAACCACAAGCTGTCATTATCGTCCTTGGATCAACAATATGCCCAAGGGTCAATTCATAAGGCTTAAAAGAAATTGTACTAAAGAAACTGACTATAGAGCACAAAGTGAAGTATTAAAACAAAGACTTATAGACAAAGGATATGCACCTGATAAAATAGAGATTGAAAGAAACACAGTAGGCTATATGGATAGAGACATGATGTTAAGGGATAAACCCAAGATAAGTACAAAAAACATTGAGGTACCAGTAGTTTTTGGGTTACAACAAACAATATAAAGCGGTACAAAAAATTATCTCCAAACACTGGAAAGTTCTCTAAAGTTAGACAAACATTTAAAAGATATAATACCTGATAAACCTAAATACATATACAAGAAAGCACCAAATCTGAGAGACAGATTAGTAAAAAACATTTTGGAACCTCCCCATTCTAAGATTACCAGTTTACTTCAGGGTGTAGGCTTTTATTCATGTGGACGTTGCTACAGTTGTAGCAGGGTTCGGAATAACCCCAGGCGAAGATACACATTTAGTAACACCGATAACAATAAAGAATACAAGATCAAACAATTCATTTCGTGTGACACGAGAGGAGTTATTTATGCTTTAAAATGCCCCTGTAATCTCATATATATAGGCAGAACCAAAAGAGCTTTGAAAGAAAGGATTAAAGAACATGTGTATAACATAAATAGAGGTTACAAGTACCATCATGTATCACAACACTTCCGCCTATTTCACAACTCAGATGCTTCCCATTTACAATTCTGGGGAATAGAAAGGCACATTAAGCATTGGAGAGGGGACAATATAATTAGAGAGATTAGCAAGAAGGAGTCAAAATGGATATACGAAATGAATTGTTTGGATCCAAAAGGCCTAAATAAGGAATTTGACTTATCCTGTTTCATCAGTAATTATTAATGAAGAGCATATTACTTCATGAGATCCCGATAGACACATAACAGTAATAGTTTGCTGCGACGGTTGTGCGTTCATGTGCGCCCACGCACATACCTACTTGTGTGCGGGTGGGAATGCACATGCGTGCACAACGCTATCGCGGCATCAATCCATTTAAGAGTGGTGTATTGATGATAATGATTTTTTAGATTATTGTCTTATAATCTTTAAATAAATAAACATTCCTGACATCATATATGTTTTCCATATGTAGAGTGTAAAATAATAAAAACTATAAAAACATAGCATAATATCTATTCATGAATGGTTATAGGATTGAATGATCAGATAGTAAGGGGATTAAATCAATATATAATTTTAAATAATATTTTAAATTACTATCACAAAGAAAAATTTCTTTATATTTTTTTATATTATTTTTAATATTATCATTGGCATTTATATTATTTAACATTCAATATTCATTATTAATTTTTATCTTTATATTTATATTCTTTACCATTATTATATTTATATTGTTTCTTTATTTATTTATATTTATTTTTATTTTATTTTCATATTCATTTCTATTTTTATTTATTTATATTTATTTGTAGTATTATATTTATTTTTATTTTCACTTCTATTTATATTTATTTATATTTTTTATTTTATTTCATTTCATTTTATTTTATTTTATTTTATAAAAAATATTCACACACAATCATTTATATTATTTTAATTTCTCTCCTTGTAACAAAATAAAATAAGTTTCCTCTTGCATTAACATTATTTTAAAAGTATTGATTAAAAGGTTTTTTTTTTATATTTCAAATGG